TCAGAGAGTCTCTGAACAACAAGAGGGACATGTTCAATGGCAGTCAGCACAGAGGTGAGGGAGGAGGAGGAGCAGAGATGTGGTGAGGAAGCAGCTAGAACCTGAGGGTCAGGAAGGAGAGAGGCACAGGCTCTTCTCCACCAGGCCGAATGGAAACAGGAAGTAAGGGCAGAGACGTGACTGCTCTTCTAGACGACCTGAATTTGGTTCCCAGCACCCATGTTAGGTGGCTCCAGTGCTGGGGGTGTGGCAGGGTGGGCTGTCCAAAACCTCTAGCCTCTGTGCAGGTACTAGCACTCACATGCCCATACCTACACAGAGACACATGCATATACACTTAATCTAAAATCAGACATAAAAATCTAAAAAAGGAATTAGAAAGTAACAATCAGGCTCTGTGGGATCACTGATAGGCCAGGAGCCAGGTCCCACTGGATTTAAGATCTTCTGGCAGAGGCTGGGGCATACCTAGTGGTTGAGCATGCGCTTAGCATGGTGCAAGTTCAGCCCCACACAACACAAAACAGCTAACGGTGGTACCCGGTGCTGTGTGCAAGACCCGTTAGGTCTGTTTTTCCCTCTCTCGTCTGTAGTGTGAGGTTAGCTCAGCTCTGGTGGGCTCTGAGAAGATGAAGGGCTCGCTTGCTCCTGGCAGCAGCTCCTTGAGTTTGCTATCAGTGAGTGTACAACTCTACTCTTAACGAGTCTACTCTTCAAGATCCAGGAAGTTGCACTGCCAGCCATCCTCCCTGTCTTTTGTCCTATAATTGTCCCAAGTGACCTGGGTCGTAAAGGCTAAGCTGCTTATTATTTCCCCTGTGACAGAACTTGCCATTTGGATGGTAATGCTTTGCCTTACCAGGCTTCTACAGTCAGAAGTTGTTGAGGGATGCATGGTAGCGGGCTGTGAGTAGTGAAAACATCCCAGACATCAACATCCATATTGCTTCATGGAAAAGGACATGGCTTTCCCAAGCCAAACCCTGGAAAACTGAACCCAGTCTCACAGGTTTCCACTGTACCGCTGATGTGGGACAGCTGCTTAGAACCAAGGCACTGTCAGCCACTCTGTGAAAACCATGACCATATGGGCAACACTTGAAAGGAAAAAGTGACTGGCAAAAAGACCAGGGGTTCTGATAGAGTGTTGTTGTTGTTGCTGTTTTTGGGTTCTAATAGAGTGTTGTTGTTGTTGGGTTCCAATAGAGTGCTGTTGTTTGTTGGGTTCTAATAGAGTGTTGTTGTTGGGTTCCAATAGAGTGTTGTTGTTGTTGTTGGGTTCTAATAGAGTGTTGTTGTTGTTGTTGGGTTCTAATAGAGTGCTGTTGTTGTTGGGTTCCAATAGAGTGTTGTTGTTGGGTTCTAATAGAGTGCTGTTGTTGTTGGGTTCTAATAGAGTGTTGTTGTTGTTGTTATTGTTGTTGGGTTCTAATAGAGTGCTGTTGTTATTGGGTTCTAATAGAGTGTTGTTGTTGTTGTTGGGTTCTAATAGAGTGCTGTTGTTGTTGTTGGGTTCTAATAGAGTGTTGTTGTTGTTGGGTTCCAATAGAGTGCTGTTGTTTGTTGGGTTCTAATAGAGTGTTGTTGTTGGGTTCTAATAGAGTGTTGTTGTTGTTGTTGTTATTGTTGTTGGGTTCCAATAGAGTGTTGTTGTTGTTGGGTTCTAATAGAGTGTTGTTGTTGTTGGGTTCTAATAGAGTGTTGTTGTTGGGTTCCAATAGAGTGTTGTTGTTGTTGTTGGGTTCTAATAGAGTGTTGTTGTTGTTGTTGGGTTCTAATAGAGTGTTGTTGTTGTTGGGTTCCAATAGAGTGTTGTTGTTGGGTTCTAATAGAGTGCTGTTGTTGTTGGGTTCTAATAGAGTGTTGTTGTTGTTGTTATTGTTGTTGGGTTCTAATAGAGTGCTGTTGTTATTGGGTTCTAATAGAGTGTTGTTGTTGTTGTTGGGTTCTAATAGAGTGCTGTTGTTGTTGTGTTCTAATAGAGTGTTGTTGTTGTTGGGTTCCAATAGAGTGCTGTTGTTGGGTTCTAGTAGAGTGTTGTTGTTGTTGGGTTCCAATAGAGTGTTGTTGTTGTTATTGTTGTTGGGTTCCAATAGAGTGCTGTTGTTATTGGGTTCTAATAGAGTGTTGTTGTTGTTGTTGGGTTCTAATAGAGTGCTGTTGTTGTTGTGTTCTAATAGAGTGTTGTTGTTGTTGGGTTCCAATAGAGTGCTGTTGTTGTTGGGTTCCAATAGAGTGTTGTTGTTGTTGGGTTCTAATAGAGTGTTGTTGTTGTTGGGTTCTAATAGAGTGTTGTTGTTGGGTTCCAATAGAGTGTTGTTGTTGTTGTTGGGTTCTAATAGAGTGTTGTTGTTGTTGTTGGGTTCTAATAGAGTGTTGTTGTTGTTGGGTTCCAATAGAGTGTTGTTGTTGTTGGGTTCTAATAGAGTGTTGTTGTTGTTGGGTTCTAATAGAGTGTTGTTGTTGGGTTCCAATAGAGTGTTGTTGTTGTTGTTGGGTTCTAATAGAGTGTTGTTGTTGTTGTTGGGTTCTAGTAGAGTGTTGTTGTTGTTGGGTTCCAATAGAGTGTTGTTGTTGTTATTGTTGTTGGGTTCTAATAGAGTGTTGTTGTTGTTGGGTTCTAATAGAGTGTTGTTGTTGTTGTTATTGTTGTTGGGTTCTAATAGAGTGCTGTTGTTATTGGGTTCTAATAGAGTGTTGTTGTTGTTGTTGGGTTCTAATAGAGTGCTGTTGTTGTTGTGTTCTAATAGAGTGTTGTTGTTGTTGGGTTCCAATAGAGTGCTGTTGTTGGGTTCTAGTAGAGTGTTGTTGTTGTTGGGTTCCAATAGAGTGTTGTTGTTGTTATTGTTGTTGGGTTCCAATAGAGTGCTGTTGTTATTGGGTTCTAATAGAGTGTTGTTGTTGTTGTTGGGTTCTAATAGAGTGCTGTTGTTGTTGTGTTCTAATAGAGTGTTGTTGTTGTTGGGTTCCAATAGAGTGCTGTTGTTGTTGTGTTCTAATAGAGTGTTGTTGTTGTTGGGTTCCAATAGAGTGTTGTTGTTGTTATTGTTGTTGGGTTCTAATAGAGTGCTGTTGTTATTGGGTTCTAATAGAGTGTTGTTGTTGTTGTTGGGTTCTAATAGAGTGCTGTTGTTGTTGTGTTCTAATAGAGTGTTGTTGTTGTTGGGTTCCAATAGAGTGCTGTTGTTGGGTTCTAGTAGAGTGTTGTTGTTGTTGGGTTCCAATAGAGTGTTGTTGTTGTTATTGTTGTTGGGTTCTAATAGAGTGTTGTTGTTATTGGGTTCTAATAGAGTGTTGTTGTTGTTGTTGGGTTCTAATAGAGTGCTGTTGTTGTTGTGTTCTAATAGAGTGTTGTTGTTGTTGGGTTCCAATAGAGTGCTGTTGTTGGGTTCTAGTAGAGTGTTGTTGTTGTTGGGTTCCAATAGAGTGTTGTTGTTGTTATTGTTGTTGGGTTCCAATAGAGTGTTGTTGTTATTGGGTTCTAATAGAGTGTTGTTGTTGTTGTTATTGTTGTTGGGTTCTAATAGAGTGTTGTTGTTGTTGTTGGGTTCTAATAGAGTGTTGTTGTTGTTGTTGGGTTCTAATAGAGTGTTGTTGTTGTTGTTATTGTTGTTGGGTTCCAATAGAGTGTTGTTGTTGTTGGGTTCTAATAGAGTGCTGTTGTTGTTGTTGGGTTCTAATAGAGTGTTGTTGTTGTTGTTGGGTTCTAATAGAGTGCTGTTGTTGTTGTTGGGTTCTAATAGAGTGTTGTTGTTGTTGGGTTCCAATAGAGTGTTGTTGTTGGGTTCTAATAGAGTGCTGTTGTTGTTGGGTTCTAATAGAGTGTTGTTGTTGTTGTTATTGTTGTTGGGTTCTAATAGAGTGTTGTTGTTATTGGGTTCTAATAGAGTGTTGTTGTTGTTGTTGGGTTCTAATAGAGTGCTGTTGTTGTTGTGTTCTAATAGAGTGTTGTTGTTGTTGTTGGGTTCCAATAGAGTGCTGTTGTTGGGTTCTAGTAGAGTGTTGTTGTTGTTGGGTTCCAATAGAGTGTTGTTGTTGTTATTGTTGTTGGGTTCCAATAGAGTGTTGTTGTTATTGGGTTCTAATAGAGTGTTGTTGTTGTTATTGTTGTTGGGTTCTAATAGAGTGTTGTTGTTGTTGTTGGGTTCTAATAGAGTGTTGTTGTTGTTGTTGGGTTCTAATAGAGTGTTGTTGTTGTTGTTATTGTTGTTGGGTTCCAATAGAGTGTTGTTGTTGTTGGGTTCTAATAGAGTGCTGTTGTTGTTGTTGGGTTCTAATAGAGTGTTGTTGTTGTTGTTGGGTTCTAATAGAGTGCTGTTGTTGTTGTTGGGTTCTAATAGAGTGTTGTTGTTGTTGTTGCTGCTGCTGCTCCTGAGTGTTTGTTCTAGAGGAAATGAAGATCTAATTAAGCTAATTAAGATGAACTCAAGAACGAGATAGACGGGTGGAGATCTCATGGTGTAAGCAAATGTAACTGGGGCAGTGAGTAAGAATATAATGCTCTCAGCGGATGCATTTAACATTTCTGCATGGCTGAAACTTCTATAGTATTCAGGGAGAAGAACAAGTGTTGAGAGTTTGGCTTTGAACAGAACAAGCGGGACCCTCACTCCTGTTAGGCCAGGGAGCTGTGGAAGGTCAAGGTTGAAACCCTAGTTTCTGTTGTTAATGTGGGGAGTCCCTGTCACCAGCTGGCCAAGGAGCCGAAAGGAGGAATAATGGCTGATGTGCACAGGGACGGGCCGAGCGGACGGATGTGCAGGAAGAGCCGTGTGCCCAGGTCTGGACCCGTGGCCTCAGCTGCCACAGGCTGTGTGGGGAAGTTGGAGCGTGTGGCCGGCAGGTGGGGGCGTGGGTCCCAGCACCTTTCCTGACTAGTTGTCTCTTGAGAGAATCTTTTTTGCTCTCATACTGTTGGTTGAACTAGACAAGCTCAATAGAATCTGCACCCCTTGTTGGTGACTCTTCTCTAACTGGGATGAATTTGCTGTCTTCCTTAGGTAAAAGAAGAGCGCCCAGAAAAGGTGCCCGACTTAAAACTGCTGGTGGAGAAGAGGTTTTTGGCGTTACAGGATAAGAATTCGGATGCTGACTTTAGAGACAATGAAAAATTTGTGCAGTATAAGCAACAGCTGAGGGAGCTGAAGAAGCAATGTAAGTGGCCGCTTTGCTTTGGCTTCTTGAGATGCGGGGCCTGGCCTGTGAGCAGTCCCGGAACGCGGAACGCGGGCTCTGTGGCGTGCGCTTCTCTGCTTGCTCCATCCGCTCCCCGAGTGCCTTGTCTCGTTGCAGCTTTGTTTGTCTGATTTTGGTTGCAGTCGCCTCTCCATTTCTGAACACCTACAGTCTCCACAAAGTGTCTCCCTGCCGGGGAGGGGGATTGGGAAAACAGAACGGGAGACCGTTTTATTCAGATGGCCATGGCAATTCCTTCCAAATGTGCCGAACTGCTGCTGTGCCACGCTCAAAAGTGCGTTTGTTCGCGTTTGCTCCCGCGGAGCAGCATTGATGAAGCCTCCTCAGAGGACTCTTCTCAAATGCTACCAGTCCCTCTGACACAGCACCCAGCTGGGTGCTGTTAATTCCATGTCACTTTTCAGTTGGCTTCTACTTTAGACGACTGTTGTAGTTAGGGTTTTCACAGACATAACTTTGACTTGAAAATGGAAGCTAGGAAAATAATTTGCTACACGCATGCACGCACGCACGCACGCAAGCAAGCACTCATACACACACACACACACCCCTTAGAGTGTACCACAGTTATATCTTCTCCGCCCAGTGGAGAACCAGTACTCCATCCTTTCCTGGTTTTCCACGTGATCCTCAAAACTGTGTCAAGGGGATTGCATCTTTTTTGGTCTTGGCATCTATTTAGTTATGCAGGGTTTCTTTGGTTTGGTTTGGTTTTTGTTTTAGGATTGAGGCTCATTTATTATTTCTGAAAGAATTGCATAGAAGAGCAAATGACCGTTTTTCCTCTGTAGTGTTAGTCTTCCTTCACAATCATTTGTACACTGACAGAGAAGGAATGCTATCCATGTCATAAATTCATTTTATGTCCTTATATGTACTCAGTGTAGTGATTCATGTTTTAAAGTAGGTCTTCTTTTAAATATGAGTGTTTTCTTTAAATTGGTGCTGAGATCTGAAAAATGACCGAGGAAGCTGCTTCAGTTTTGTCTATTTTACAAATAACTTAAGTTTCACAATTCAGGGTGTTTTGCAATCCTGGTAAGACTATTACTGTTCTGTAAATTTAAACAGTAAGCATTTTCCCTCTGTTTGGTTCTTCATTGAATATTGTCACTACCAAAATCTTTCTAAAGTAACTTGTACTGTTTCCCAAATAGAGAATAACCCCCCAAGGGGAGACATGATGGGACTTTGTTTCATGTTTGTCATAGCAGACACCTATTTTTAAGTTTGGTGTACATGGGTCTACAGATTATGACAGATATAACATTGAGTCAGAATCTCTTACTGTAGCAATATTTCATAATAAAAACTGAGGAGTAAATAGAAAACTATCTTCCTTCTTTGTTACTCACAAAGTTATTGTTCTATAAAAGAAATTATAATGACTTACAATAACAGCATGCAATGCAACAAAGTAAGTATGGAAGTTGTGGTTATTGTTCTTTACTGTGGAGAGAGGGAGGTGAGAGAGAGAAGATAGATGTGTTTCCCCAGACGCAGCCATACACATCATTTGGATAGTTAAATCTAATGACAAAGTCAATTTATATTGAAAGGAGTGTTTCCTTATGTAAGAGTTCCCCATGCATTGCAACACTGGGATTAACAGAATTGTCCCTTTAATTTCCCCTAAAATGTTACTTTTAAAGGTTTAGATTTTGAATGCAGAGCCAGCAAAGTATCAGTATTCTTTTAAAGTGCTGTATAAGATGGATGTATGCTGCTTACAAAATGAAATTCCTCGCTTAGTGTTTTGAGCACTGCTAGTAAAATCTGCACCATGTCTGAGAGATGTAGCTTTTTAGTTCCACTCTGCTGTGAGAGCCTTGATTAGGACCAGGCTCCCCCAGTGACTGGGAGTCCAGATCTGAAGTACACTGTGATGTATTAAATGGGCTCATGGATCTATTCTGAAATATGTTCTGGGGTTTTGTTTGTTTTTGTTTTTCAAGACAGGGTTTCTTTGTGGCTTTGGAGGCTGTCCTGGAACTAGCTGTTGTAGACCAGGCTGGTCTCAAACTCACAGAGATTCGCCTGCCTCTGCCTCCTGAGTGCTGGGATTAAAGGCGTGGACCATCACCGTCCAGCCTGTTCTGAAGTTTTTTTTTTGTAATGTATATTTTTTATTTTTAATTTATTTTTTAAATTTAAATTAGAAACAAGTTTGCTTCACATGTCATTACTAGCTCCCTCTCCCTCCCCTCCTCTCTTGCCCCCCTTCAGCCCTCCCCTAACCCCTCCCCCATTCCCACTCCACTCTCCAAGTTTTCAAAGACTGGAAAATAGAAGTGAGAGACGACTCTGCTGAAGTGAGATCAGGCACACGGTGTGGCCCTGTAATCCCAGCACTGAGGAGGTAGAGGGGAGAGGGTCATTGCAGCCAGCCTAGACTACCTCCTGAGTTCCAGGCCAGCCGCGGCTGTGTGGTGAGACCCCATCTTAAAAGATAAGAACTGCTGAAGTCTGTATGGAAAGGGTTGTTCTTTCATGATATTTTCTTCATATTCATTATGTGAGGTATAGTTTACAGGGGATTTAATATATCAAATCACAATTTAATCCAAGAAATGTCAGGTAGTTCTTGAGTAGGGTTGCGTCTAGGTGGGGATGAAGGTGGTTGAGTGTGGTGGGCAGGACTAGGCACACCCTTCTGTAGTCACAGTTCACCCTGCTACAGCCAAGCAGATGGTTCATAGACTTTGTGATCCCACGTCCCTTTAACACACTGAAGTATACTTCTGGGGGTTCCGGGGCTTCAGTTCACACGTGTGTGTGTTTGTGTGTGTGTATTAGTATTTGTCCTATTGGAAATCAGAACTGAGGATTAAAAAAAATACTTTAAGAACTATGCCCATTACGTGTTAAGTATAAATAACATTTGTTATGAAAAAGTTAACTATTCCCCAAATGTCAGGAAGATTTGCTGAGACAGGTGGCATTGTGTCTCGTTTTTGCAAAGCTCAGCTTCTGGTCCACAAGCAGCTGGACCCTCTATCTTGCTTTTTCATTACTCTGTAGACCTTGTTCTCGCAGAAAGAGAGCAAGGTCTCTCACACGGGTATGGTAGTCGCCTTTTCGGACCATCAGAAATTTCCCTTTTGTAAATATCAGATCTGGGCTATCTGTGATATAAATTCAGCTGGCAAACTGGGAATAATTTTTATAATTGTAGTTATGGGAGGGTTTTCAGTAGTTGGGGGGGATCAAAACAGGGATAATACTCAGCGATGTGAAAATAATCTGCTTTCAGTGTTTATAAATAGGCTGATTAGAACCGAGACATGCTTACTTGTTTATGTATAGTCTGTGGCAGCTTTCACAATGTCATTGCAGATTCCATGTTGCATCACAAACCACTGGCCACAAAGCTTATAACACGTACTATCTGGTTCTTTACAGAAAAAGTTTACTGATTGCTGATCTGAACTACATCCAGACATAAGAAGAGTTTTTAACTCTAGATTCCCTGCCCACACCCCTTCCGTGTAGTTGATAGTCTCAAATGAATACAAGTTGGAAACCTAGTACTTGGTAAAAGACAATGTATACAAACATAAGACAATGTGAGAACCATTAGCATAATCATCTAAAGCAAAGAAAATGTCAGAATTATGTGAGGAAAGTCAGAACACTGGATCTGGTCTGCTCACATTGCCTGTCATCGTAGGGCTCTGGGCAATGTATTTAGAAACTTCCTGAGGCTGGGCTTAGGCAGAGTGGGAATGAAGGTGCCGATGGGTTACACTGGGGAAGAGCAGGCAGTGCAAATGCGAGCCTAGAGTGCGAGCCTATTAGATCAGCCATACTTGTTTAAGGACGGGATTATTCCAAAGATAACATGTTTTATCTGCATGGATAATGCTGCAGTGATTATGTCTTTATGGATAAACTAAGTATCAGATCCAGCTTCTTTGAACACATCATTTTTATCCCTTGGCTACCTGGTAGCCTGTTGTGGTTACTTCCCTCGTTGTGGTATCAGCACCTGGCAGAGGCAGCCTCAGGGAGGAAGACTGTGGTTGACAGTTTCCGAGATTTCAGTCCGTGTCCTTGTGCGTGGAAACCCTGACAGCAGTAGCTTGTGGGTAAGGGAGTTGCTTCTTGACTGATGAGTAGGGTGCATGGCAGGAAAGGGCCAGGGACAAGGTATCCCCAGATCTGTCTCTGGTGACCTACCTCCTAAGGTTTCCAGAACCTCACAAAAAGATGAGGACATTAGTGTTCAACACATGAGCCTCTTGGAGAGATTTCACACTTAATCCATAGCGCCTGTGTGTCAGAGAAAACCGTGTCCACCTCCGTTTATTTCTCAGGATTTTCCCCTAGACTGTGAGATAGTTTCCTTACAAACCCTCAACCTTGCTTACATTTATTATTGAAAGAGGCTAGTTTATAGCACAGTAGAAAGGATATACTCTTAGTAGCCAGAGAAGCTACATCCCGGCCTGACAAATGAACTTTTGTCTGGCTCCTTTTGTTGGCCAGTGAAGACACCTATGTATTCTGCATTCATCTGAGGCTGTCATGATCAGGCTCTGTATTTACCCAGTGTATGAAATTCTTAGCACTTGTGAATTAATGAGTGTCAGCTACCATTGTTTGATGCCTCCGTGTACAGGAGCACTATATATACATTGCTGTTTATTTCTCATCACTTTGCAAGATGATTGCAGAGAGATGATACAACTTGCTTTTGACCCACAGTGCTGAAGTTCAGGTACCGTTAGGGTGGCACCAAAGCCCGTGAGGGTGTTTTGGTTTATATTTCTCTTTGTTTACCTCGTATGATCCTGACTTTTGAAGAGGACTCTCCTTCTAATTACTGTACTCATCCTTCAGAGGTGGACTTCTAAGACTGTCCAGTACTAATCATCCGGGTCACCAGGTCATGGAACAGAACTGATGTGCTCTAATGACCCCGAGGGGAGTGTTTGTCTAGCCAGTCAGAAACTGTT